ATGTGATATATATTGTTCAAAACCAACTCAACCAAAGCCAAAGAAAGCAAAAAATTCCTAAAACCAACCACTAATTTGTTAAAAAAAAGTAATTAGATCTTTTTTATTATTTTAGTATACATTACGAAATTTTTAAATAGGCTGCATAACAATTATCATCGGCAGGGTAATTAGCATTGATGAATATCAATTAAAATCGATATTCATCGATGCTAATTACCCTGCTGATGATAATTGTTATGCACCCTATTTAAAAATTTCATGATGTAGATTTTAGATATTTTACTGATTAGTTTTTGATTTTAATAGCAGGGTCGTATAACTTAAACTGAACATAAAATCCAAACAATTCAAGTGATTGTATGATACTTTCAACTTAGAACAATTAAATAAGTGAAGGATTCTATTTCATATTTGGTCAAGGAGGATTTGGCACAGCATTTTCTACAACCTGATTAGATGGTATACAGAAGATTGAACTATCTAGCACATCAATCGGCTGTTTTATTTAACCTGAGTCGATAGAAATCATTTTTTTTTATTTTATTTCAAATATTAAAATACAAAATCAAGATTTTTAGTGATATAAAATATACAAAAAGTTTTATCGAATAAATGCTTTTTATACCAATTTTTGTAATTAGCTTATCGTTCATTTTTCAAATTTGACTGATTCTATAATTTTATTTATCGTAATTGATTTATTTCATTTTATTACTTTTATAATTGGTAATTTTGTAATTTATATATCTAAATCAGGTTTAGGGTGTGCTAATTATATATGATCCCTTTTAATTAATAAAAGGAAGAGTAAAGGTGTAATATACATTATATGTTTACTATAACGATTTCATTCTGTCTTTAATAACAACTATCATTAACCCCAAATCTGACGTATCCTATATATGCGTTACTCTCTCAATCTAGGCTGTAACAAGGTTCTCTGACCTCATAATAAATAATATAGCGTGTATAGTGATAAAAATTAACCTTTCTCTATTCAAGTTTTGCTTTAGCCAAAATTATAGTCAGCTCAATATCAAAGCTTTTGCAACAAAAGCACTTCCGAATAAGAATTGATCAGTAAAAGAAAAATAAACTTATCTTTGAAGCACTTTGAAATTGCTAAAAAACATAACAGATAATAACGGATAACCCTGAAACCTATAACCAACTTTGTGATTAAGTATAGTACCTGAAAACTAGTTGCAGTACAAAAAAAACTTGAAAGTCTAAATAGTCATAAGTAGAACTTACTAAAAATTTCGTGAAGACACAGATCTGCTTCGGTTTAGCACAACTGCTTAGCTGTCAAGTTGTTTAAGAAATAAAAACAAGTGTTAATAGTAACTACTATACTACTTAAAATACAGAGTCAATTTAAATTAAGCAAATCCATTATAAATAATTTTTTCAGTTTACCTATACTGAGTCGATACATATAAACCCACTAACTCAATTTTGTGTAACATGCTGGGTCAACAGAAACCAAGCAAATCTATTAGATAAATTTGCTTGGTTTATGTTGACCCAGCATGTTACACAAAATTGAGTCGATCTTCCGAAATCACTGATTTAATCAGATCATGTCGGATATTGTTTACTAAGTGTGATACAAAAACATGATTTTCTCAAAATTAGTGATTTACCGATTTGCTGGATTACTGTTGACTCACCCTATATAATAAAGTTCCGCTTAATCATCACAAAATTTCAATTCAATTTTATTAGCTTTGTAGTTACATGTTACCCTAACAGCCTTCACAAATTCGAATAAAAATTGTGTAAAAACCTTTTGAACTTCCAAGTTTGTTGTTTCAGAATAAAGACCATTATTTAATAATTACAAGCAAAAATAACCATTCGGACAAAACGACATAAACAAAAGTTTTTTTTCTTTTAAAATGCATACAACCTAAATAATTGATTTGTGCTAAAGAAATGATTGAAGCAACTATTATACTTTTAAATAAATATACTAATCATTTAATATATGCAATTTGGAATTACATCTTTGAGGTTAAACTGTGTGTTAATGTTAACACCTTATTTATACCAAAAAAATGTACATGTCTCATAATTCGAACTATTTTCTGCATTCATATACTTTTTACCACATTTAATTTAGAAGACTTTTTATATAATAACGATAACAATTTTGTATGAAATACATTAGTAAATTTTCTTCATGTGAACACAACTGCAATTTAATAGTAATAATGAGTGTCACAGCTTATGTTGAATTTGAATCTATTTTGATATGAATTTTTAAAAAATTTTTGTTCTGCTTTTTTTTTCTGAGTCAGATTAAGGTTTAGAGTTAGAAATTATAATTATAGAGCATATGTAGATTTTACAGTAGCAGGGCTTATACTTTTTAAATCATGACCCCAAATTTCAGCATCAGCCATGGCAATGAGTTTGATTTTGAAGTAGAGAAAGCGTTAAAAGAAATGATTCATAAAAGTGGCAGCTTGTTAATACTGAATTGAATTCTGGTGATAGTAACATTAAGGAACTCTATGATTATAGCTATATGGATACACGCCATGATAATGAGAAAAGAATTCTACAGCATCTATATCAATATATGCATGACAATCTACTTGAAAAATTATCAAACATTCAAGTATTTAAAATATGTTGTTGTCACCATGAAACTTGAGTTGATTGCTATGTAAGTATTAAGATAAAAAGAATACTTTTGTAGCCTGTTCATACCCATCTGAAAAATTGTATTTATATTTCTGGTAATATTCATTCTGATTCAAAATTGAGTAAATATTTCCCAGTTAATTTCAAAGTTTAATACCATTTTTGAATCAAGTTAATATGTAAGAATCGATTACAATGATTAGAAATAAAGGTTTATTAATGCTAATGCTAACGAATCTCAGATCTCATTAAATAAATGTTTTTTTTTTAAAAAAAAAGATATAGCATTTTTAAAGTAATTTTGCCAATAAGTATTTTTGACCTCGCATTCGAATAGCTTTGATGTTCTCATAGGAAGAAATTCATTATATTGGCTGGATTTTTAGTGAATATTAACCAATTATATGACTTGGAAGCAATGTTTATGTAAAATCGTTACTAAGCAATAGATCTTATTAATCTTATTTTTAAAGTTAATTTTCTAGCACCTTTTGGAGCTAGAAATGATTCATGCGATTTTATAATTATAAATTAGTTACTCAGTCAGTTGATTTATACTAGCCAATCAAGCCTATGAGTGCCACGCGCACACACATTTTTTGATTATGACACAGAGTAAATCTTAATTTGGGCTGTAGCTTAAAATAACGCTTAACGTTAGCGCCACTATTTCAAGATTTTATGATAACTATAACTAATAACTTACGACAATATAACGATAACAGCTTTTTTACTTTTTCGAGTTTTAAGAAAAATTCAAATATCATCAAGTTAATATTGCTAATTAGCTCAATACAATCAGACCTCTCTAAATGCAGCCCCTCTAAATGCAATACTTCTCCAAATGCAACCTTTAACTCCGGCCCAAATATATACCAGACTTCCATAAATGCAATTTTTCTTATTATTCTCTAAATGCAAGCTGTCAAAAGTCTGGTTCCTTTGAGTTGCATTTAGGGAGGTTTGACTGTATAATAATATAAAGTTTTTTGCAATATGTATTAAATACCTTTCTATTCGCCTCTCGAAGAGAAAAATTAATATGCGAGAATATTTCAATCGATATATTTTAAAAAATAAGTCACTATTGACATGTTATTGATTTAATTAATGATGATTACGTAATCTAAGAAACTACCAAAATCATAAGGTATATCAGTTGACACCACAATTATTAAAATATAAATAATTTCATCATTGAACGGCAAATATATTAACACTTTGATTTTTCACCATTACAATTAAAAAGAATAATAATTGAATTATAGAGAATCAAAAGGAAATTATTAGAAGTTCTATTTATCTTATATGGAAAACTACTAAGAGAAGAGTTAGAGAAATTGTTTTCAATGACCCATCGTGCTCAACAATTGTTTTCTTAAGTGATGGCACTAACGAGACTGAAAATTTAGACACATCTGAGTGATTCTAATTTCTTAAGAAAAAAATTATCAATGATCTAGCTAACATAAAAGAGTAAGAAACTATTATCATTAAATATGTAGTCGATGTTAAAATATTTATTATAATAGAATTAAATTATAATGAAAATTGAGTTTAATCTATCGCATTTATTAATCAATTGACACAGTAACATTAAATAAAATTTCTATAACCAAATTTTAATTTATAATTGACAAATCACAAAACTTTAGCAAGCTGAAAAAAAAAACAGAGAAACAGATAAATCCATATCCAATGACCAGCCGTCAATCAATGTTATTTCTGGAATGTCTGAACAAAGAATTTTCCTAGCTGATTAATAAAGTTCAATAATAAAATTATTAATATAGATCATTGTCAACAAAAATTTGACAGGGAGAAGGCTTTGATGTAAGTGATGACAATTCACCAGAATGAACAGAATATGAAGAGTACTATCGCTATAAAAAGGAATTATATGAATATTGTGGATGTTTTGTATACAAATGGAAAGATGGTCAAGACCACATTTCTTATACAATGATAGTAGCAAAGGTTTCCATACTAGATGTTTAAAATTTCCACTCTTAGGAATTCCTGCTGGAAATTGGTACTGTAAGAAATGAGAAAATGGAAATTCAAAGAAATCAAAATGTAAAACGCAGCTTGATTATTCATGTTCGGATGAGGTTGATAATCAAAGTGCAAAAAAAAATAATAATAATAAGAGATTGAAATCAAAAAGTAGCATAAAATATGTGACACAACAGGATACCTTGGGTTCTGACAATGAAGTCAGTCAAAATATAAGGAAATTATCAAAGAAAAAGAAGACAAATCATGATAAAAAATGTGAGACTTTATCGGACTCTTTGTGTATTATATCAAGTTTTGGTTACATTTTTTGCATATTATCATCATATTAAACTTTTTACCTATAAAAAAAAATATGTAAAAATATTTAGAAAAATCAACCTCACGTATAGCTCTACTAATGATTCAATTGAAAATGGAGTGGAAAGTGCTAATATTCTGGTTGTTGTTATAGAAGAGAATGAACACTTTAGCAATAGACAGGTAAGCTCTAGTAATATACTGACTTTTACTAGTTTATGTCATTCATTTTGTCATTTTTAAAAGTGAATAGATGAAGCAGAGAATGTATTAGCAACAAATCAGATATTAAATATTAAAGTAAGAATTCATAATCAAATTTAAAAGCAAATTAATAAGGCTATTATTTTTTTTTTTTTTATTATTATTAAACCGATGTCACGGGTGCATAACGCTTTATTGTGTTTTATATATCTTATTACAGACAATATGTCTGTAAGATATTTATAGTACATTGATGAGCGTG